CCATTGAGAAACCAGATAACCTGCCAGAGCATGTGGGGATTACGTCAACCACGTTAAGGAGTGGCATATATTTGAGGTCCCTGCGTTCAGCTTGCTATAGCTAGTCAAGCACGTCAGCTATCAACCTTTAGCCGCGCCTTTTTAAAACACATGTGAACGCGAAATCTGGATCATAGTTGGTCGAGCCGTGTCTTGACTTTCTATGCTATCTAGTTTTGCTCAGAATTTACGCTGTGTAAGCTCGTGACAGCGAACATAGTTAGTCAAGGTCTCCGCTAAGCCTATATCGATACGACACGAACCAGAGTCCATGCAGATGACGGTTCCACCGTCATCGGCCGCGACATCGGCCGCTACGCAGCGTCGTCCGCATTCTCTCCTTTTTAATCCACATGGCTATGCTAACACGACCCTATTAGAACGGCTGCAGGTGACCATGGGCGCAGCGACTAACAAGAAAAAACGTCGGATATGCGCTTGCCGCGCAGGGGTGGTTCCCACAGAGTAAACCAGACCTTAACGTGGCCAACTCAGATAGTGTCATAAAATCCACATTAGGCAGAGACGTTGCAGTCTGCCTGTAATGTCTTGGGAGCTCCGAATTATTTGATCATTTGGCAACCTTCTAGACCACGAGCTTTGGGTGCGCCGGTTGTATTATACGGATGAATCTGCTGCAGCGCCGGAGCAATGGATTCTACAATCGTTTTTTCCTCTTCCCTGGGACTGTCCATTGTTTGAACTGGTTAAACAGCCGATAAATGTATAGGACTTGGAGGTTAAATCGGCTTACAAACATCAGATTAAGCATCCACACACACGTAAACTGTCTGCACATACTACTGATCGCTATTCAATTGTCAGTGAGAGTCCTGATTAAGCTCAGAAGCATAAGGGGAGCAGCATGCCTCAAAACCTTATCAAGAATCCATCCTTATACGAAACCAAACTAAGTCGAACTGTCTGGATGTCAAGTACAATTACGAACTCAGTCCGCCTGGTTTTTAGAGCACTTATGTGGGTTGACTTAATATCTGGATCAGTAGCATCCATAATAGTGTCCTGTAGTTAAAATAAGGTCATATGTAGCATCAACCGGTTTGTTCAGAAATGAAAAACTGATAGAATTAAGTGATCTCCATTTATGACGGAAAGGCGTTCACCAGTCAAGATACGGTATAGGCTCGTCCCGTTGTGTCTTGGGGCTCAATGTAGAGTCTTCACAGGCATGCGTATATTGACTGGCATATGCAAACCATAAAGTTATGACAAAGATAAGAGATACCTGAATGGCCATTTCTGACTTATTAGCCCCTATCAGTAAGCCATTCGCAATCGTAATTTTGCAACACGTAGAATTCGAAGCCTCTTGGATTTTTGTCATTGGAGCTAAGGTTCTACCAATGAGCTGCGGGCCCATTATCCTATCTGTTGCGATCTATAAAATAAG